TTCCCATTCCAGATCAGTCTGCTATTACTAAGGATAATGTCAGCATTCTGATTGATGGAGTCCTCTATGTTAAGGCGCGTATATTATATTTTTTCTGCGTATTTAAAAGTGAATGAGATTTTTATCATGAATTTATACCAGGACTGAATATTTGCTACAGATTGTGGACCCTATGTTGGCATCTTATGGAGTTGAGAACCCACTATATGCAGTTATTCAGCTTGCCCAGACTACTATGCGAAGTGAGCTTGGTAAGATCACTTTAGACAAGACTTTTGAGGAACGCGACACTCTCAACGAGAAGATAGTGGTAAGATTTCTACAAATTATTTTTTGATGTTTAGTTGTTTATCTCATTAGGGTATTGTATAGGATAAGTCTCAAATTGAGATTATTAGTGTGATTTCTCTACTAGTCTTAATCGAATTGGTTTGAAATTTAAATTTTGATTTGTATAATGTGCTCTTTGAATTTTGTCTTGCAACCTTCCTTGAGGCTTCATGTAATGGGTGCAAGATCTCTTCGTTTTGTTATTGTAGACGCAAAAAAAAAATAATAATAATAATAAATTGATAAATTAATGATGGATCAAACAGAGTTTCCAAAAAGAATTTTTGTAGCTAACCCCAAATTTATTTGGAACAAAATTTAGTTTGTTGTGTATATGAAGCTTCTTATCTAATCTCTGACAAACAAATCTCATTATTTTCGTAGATACTTCTTGAGCAAGTGTTTGAAAGGAAATGTATTGGTTACAGAAAAATAAAATAAAATTTGGAATTTTGAAGGCATTCACAGGCATTCTTGTATTGTGCAATTATAAGGGATCTAATATCATTTCTAAGATAAGAAATCATCTCCTAATGCAAAGCATCCACGTCCTCTTCACGTCGGAATGATTTTCAATGGGCTTTAAGTAGGCAAGTATTTTACAATTTTTACAAGGGTGGCAACATCAACAGAAATTTCAAAAACAATTTCATTTCATTATGTAAAATATTTATTATGTACAGGTGTGGACAAAATAAGGCCAGGATACACTATTATGCTAAAAATGCTAGTGTTTTTGTGCTTAGACTGAATAAGAGTTCAAAGGACATGAACAAATGTTTATCATTGCAATAACATTTTTGAGAGTGCTTTCTTGGTGACAGCTTACAAGCTATCATAAATGGTTGATACACATGCTGTAAGCATAGAAAATCTCAAGAAGCACAACTTTTCTATTGAAGCTGAGACATGTACTGAGAGTTTTTATTAATTGAAAGTGGACGAAAAAGGCATTATTTTCCCTTCAATATGTACAACTGTCACGTTCCAACCAGATTATGTCTATATTTAAGGAATTGTATGAAAACAGATTGGGCATAACAATTGGTGCCATAACTTTTAGACGTTTGCTTAATCATTGGTTTGTTATAATTAGCTTCTAAATGAGATTATTGTCTAAAATTTGGTCTTTCTAATGATTTCTTTGTGTGGTGACCGCGTTTTGCTTTTTATACGGATGACGAGTGCACGAATATTAAGCCTCGTTGCAAATTTTAACTGAAAAGAACTGTTGGGTAAGTCGTTGTCCTCTGCTATTGTTCTTTAGAATCAGATGTCTGTTCCAGTTCATTTGGTAGTTTACTTGGTATTAATGGCATGTTTGCATAATTGATTTCGATTCCATTAAACTTGTTCTTTTTTTTTTTTTTTTTTT